TTCCGTTCTTTTATTTATGAGTTTGTTTATGTCAAAAGTACTTTTTTTTTTTGGAGAGGTTTTTTGCTATAGGGCACATGCGCTCGCCAGACAGAGAGAGACATAGAGACAGAAAGCAAGAAATCACCCCCAGGGGAGATGGTCACTCCACAATCCCTTCTCCTACATTCTCCTCTCAGGATCTTGGGCACGTAGGCACACGCGCCCGGCATGAGTTCTAAGCCACTGGGTCTGGGATGTGAACCGCGGTCGACTACGTGGGAGTCCAGTGACATAGCCATTACGCTAACTGCTGGTTCTCAAAAGTACATTTTTTGATGTACATTTGCACCTAATATTTATTCTAACAAGTCTCTGCCTTTTATTGAATATGTGGTATGTTTACATTTAATGTTGTTATTACCATGACTAGATTTAAGTCTGTCATTTTACTATTTGTTTTCTGTTACCACCTGTTTTTCCTTTCCTTTTTTCAAGTTAGTTACTTTTTTTTTTGGTTATTTTCCAGATTATAATATGTATTCTTAGCTTTGTAATAGTGTAGTTGCTTTTAATACCTCCTGTTTGTGTTATACTGTTGTCATATAAATGACATCTACATGGTTTTTGAGTTACATTTTTTGGTATAATCTGTCATCTCTCAAAGAAAATTTTTGAAAAGAATATCACCTTTTATATTTACCTGTATATTTTGCAATCTTTTTTTCCAGCAGTTTTTTTAGTTTCCTTCTCTCATTTATCTTCATCCTAAGGAACATTCCTTTAGCATTTCTTTTCTGCAAACTCTACCAGAAACAAATTCTCTGTTTTTGTTTTTTCCAACATGTTTTTTGTTTTGGCTTGTTTTGCAAAAGATAGTTTTACTGGTTATAAAGTTTTAGATTTTTTTTTTCTTCAGTCTTTCAATATTTTGAAGAAGTTCCATTTGTCTTTTGGCTCCCATTGTTTCTGATGAGAAATTGTTACTCACTGTGTGTTTATGCCTCTACATATAATGGATCCACTCTGCCTGCTGTCAAAGATAAAGCAGATACTAGTCAAAAGCAGTAAAGTCAGAATTTATTTGGTAACTACATTACATTATGCATACTTACATGTGTAAGTATGTTTTCTTTGTGTTTAAACCCTGTGGGGTGCCAGCAGCTAGTATGGTGGTTAAGGTGCTGGACTCCCATATGGACGACTGCGGTTCAAATCCTGGACCTGACAGCTTGAAAATCACAGTGGGTGCGTGTGTGTGTGCACATGTCCAAAATCCCAAGAGGAGAATAGAGGAGAAGGGATTGTGGTGTCGTTGTCCCCTCTAGGGGGGTGGCTTCTCACTCTTCCTCCCAGTATCTGTCTCTTACCACCAAATGCAAGTGCCTTATCGCAGAACCTAAAAAAAAACTCCTTATTGGTCATTGAGCTTCTTTGATGTATAAGATTAAGGTTTTTGTTTTGCTCTTTTACTAAACTGAAAAAGTTTTATTATTTTTTTTCTGGTCAGTATTTTAAGTATTTTTTTCTGGTATATTCTTGGTTTTTCTCTCTTTTCGTTTTTCTGGTATGTTCTTGGTTTTTCTCTTTTCAGAACTGTACACGGTACTGAAAATATTCATTTTGTTACTCAGTCTTTTGTAATTTTGGTTCTTTGGATTTGATATTTTCTGTTGATCTGTCTTCAAATTTATTGACTTGCCTGTCTTCATTAACTGTGGTTTAATTTTTTATTTCTGATTTTATAGTTTCCAGTTCTAGAATTTCCATCTGATTCACTTTTATAGTTTCTATTACTCAGCTGAGATTTCCTATCTTTTCATTAAGTCCATGAATATAGTCATAATATTTACTTTAAAATCATTGTCTACTAGTTCACCTTGGTGCCTGTTTCTATTGACATGTTTATTTTGACCTGGGTTAATTTTTATGGTTTAGTAATATTTGGTCATATAGTGTACCTGTGAGATGAAACATTGTAGAGACTTTTCTTCCTCTGAAGAGTGGCTTTTTGCTTTTTTTTCCCCCCTTCCTGCTAGCACACAGTTTTGGATGGCCTCAAAATCCAAAATGTTTGCCTCTGATGTAAGTAGTAGCTGAAATCTCCGTTCTTTTATCCTCCCATGCTCTGGTTTTCAGCACACCTCCATAGTCTCCCTGCATACATAATTGAGGACTCAGTCAAAGTATTTAGGCATATTTTGGTGTGTCCCCCCCCTCCCCCCTTATGACTCTTCTTCACAGGATGACTCCCTTCTTTTTCTGATTTCTGACAACCCCAAAGCTAGCTGCTGAGTCTGAGTCAGTAAAACTGCATTTTCCTGCTTAAATTCTGGACGCCCTGCCTAGCCTGAATGGAGAGTACCTTTGGGTGGTCAGGTTGAGAAGCGCAGTTCTCCTCCAGTCCAGTCTCTTCCGTAGGGTGCCATCCTTTCCGTTTTCAGTCCCTCTCCACCGTTTTCAAATGGCTGTTACATTTTGCATTGTTACAGTGACCTGACTGAAAGTTAGAGTCTGAGTCTACCTTGCCATTACTGGAAGCAGAATCTCTGGGTTTTTTGTTTGTTTGTTTGTTTTTTGTGATTACACACTTTTCAGTGATTGAGAATTCGCAACATGTTTTAGAATCTGGCAGGCCATTATTGCTTCTTTGTCAAAATTTTCCTGGTCATATTTATTTATTTTGGCATGATATATCTGAAATAATCTTAACTGTATCTTTAATTTAATTTTATTGAGATTATATCAAACATACAAATTTAGTAGAATTGACATCTCTGTGACATTAGCTTCCTGTCTAGCCATGTGCTTATTTTTCTTTTTGTTCAGTGGACTTTTGTATTCTTTAGTTACACTTAAAATGTTTTTGGTTTTGCTGTTGTTATTATATTTATTTTTTATGTTTTGCTGTAGGGCACATGCACTTGTGTGTGGGGGGGGCGAGAGAAACAAAAATGATCTCTTAGAGGGGATGGCTACACTGCAGTCCCATCTCCACTCTCCTCTCAGGATGGGATGGCTACACTGCAGTCCCATCTCCACTCAAGATTCCCTGGGATGATTTTTAAGCCACTAGGTCTGGGACTCAAACCACACTGTTGGCTATAGGAGGGTCCAATATACCACCCCTATAGACCTCTCTACTACAACTGATCCTCTTTATATTCTTTTGACATATTTGTGATTACTTTATTCTAGATGCTTTGTATAATTTATTACAAATTACATTCCTTTAAAAATTTTTCTCTTAAATCAGGGTTTTTATATCACTAGAAGGAAGCAAATTTATTATTTTTAAATAAACCTCCCAATTTTTTGAGGGAAGTATTAAAATAATGGAGCTAAGGCTTAAGTGCTGGTAGTTGGAAAATGACAGACTTTAGAATTGGGTTCTAGGTCTGTGTCTAGATTGATTGCATGTTCTTAACACCTATTGTTTATTCTTGTCTGATTCCTTCAAGGCATAAGTAAAGCACAACTTAAGCTCTTCATGGTCTATTTTACCTCCTGGTCCTCTTGTCAGTTCCAAGGGAATGTGAGTGAAATGTTCTTTCTAGTATCATACAAGCAGGATAGCCTTTTGATACATACTTTTGTTATTCTCTTTGAATTATTTTCAAAGAAAGAAAAATCAGTCCTGTGCTATTCCTTTCTTAAACTCAGATTCACACGATTCTAGAATTTAAAAGTAATCCTTTTGTGATTTTAACTATATCAATAAGTTTCTTGTACATGCAGATAAATATCTCTTCAAAAGGAACCATTTATGTCATGGATTTTTTATCTTTGGGGAAAAAAGGAAAGGTCTAATTTATCCTCCAGTTTCTTAGCTTTTTCTGACTATTGTTGATGGTCGCGTTTTGCAGCCTAAAAAAGCAAGAGCATCTGTAAAAATGTCTCAAGGAGATGCTGGAAAATTTCTGAACATGTTTATTTGTTTCGTTGGATTGATTTAAGTTGTCAAGTTATTGTAGCCCCTAAAAGCCAGACACGACATTTTCGTGCAGCCCGGTGGCTTTGCGGGGGGATCTATGGCACTGAACTCCATCCAGCACATCAGGTGATGCTGTTGCCTGGCCACGGGAAGTCAGCATTTTCCACCATTGCCCTTTGAAATGTTGAGCCGGTTCACTCACCAGCAGTGTGTAAATTTGGAATTGACTCAGTTGTGTGTGATTTATTTTCAAAAGTTGTTTTGACATGTTCCTTCCTCCAAAAATTTGATGATTTTGTAATATGTGAGAAATGGAATTGAGTTTCAGATCTACCTTTAGACTAATTTCAAAAGTACAATGTAGGTCCTGAGGGAGGTTGGCAGTTAGAAAGTTCCATTACAAAACTTTCTCGAAAGCTCTTCTTTCCTTCTCCTGCAGAGCAGAAATTACTTTTGAAATGCAAAGTAATGGTCAGGAAAATAGGGAGAATTATCTCTGAACTATGTTCTAGAAAGGAATGTGGAAAAAAATGTTAGTGTCGTTGTGTGCTAGAGTGACTTCAACATCTTCTTGGTCCCTGGTCCTTTATAGTGAGAAGAAAGCAATGATAATTTTCAGTATAAGTATTGCAATCAGATAACTTGAAAATATTAACTGGATATGTGTCTGGATATTTTTCCTGTATTAAGAATGCCAATTGACATTTGTTTTTAGAGAATTTTTTTTTAACTGGATTACAAAATGAAGTACCGTTAGTACAGCTAACAGCATAGGTATTAATTAGATCTGTTGTTTTGAGTAGAGGAAGTTGGAAAGGGCATTATGATTTCATTAAGCTAGAGAGCGTTGGTGTTCACATTTTAAAAACATAATCATAACTTATCTGGAGTCACATGTTCATTTTACTGGCTTCCTTCATATAGAAAATATAGTAACCAGCACTTAAATGCCTGTGAAAAAGCGAAACAGTGTATATTTTCTGGGTGAAGGAAGTATTCTGTACATTCTCCATGTTTACATCATGGTATTTTGAATAACCATGCTTCCATGTTCACATCAATTTTTTGTTTTTCAATTTATGCACAGCACTTGCTCTGAAATTTGGGGACTGAGTACACCAAATACGATAGATCAGTGGGATACAACAGGCCTTTACAGCTTCTCTGAACAAACCAGGTGAATATTCTGCCCTCTATGGAATCCAGAGATCTTGTGGGAGGGGGGTGTTTTGGAAGACCTATATGGGGTTGCTTAGTATAATTCTGTGTAGGATTGTTTCCTTAGCATAAAATAAGGCATAGCATTTAAAATGTCTGCTTGCCAGTATTAAAAATATATGAATGTTTCAGTCAATGTTTTGATCAATGTAATTCTAGTTTTGAATCTTCTTTAAATTACTGCATCCCCTAAAGAATAAAACTTTGGTAATTTTGTACTCATTTGAGTTTGAGATTAGACTGTAATCTGTTGTTGGCCTAATTTTTAAGTAGATACATGATCAGTTTTTGCTAAATTTCTCGTTATCATCTGAATCTCATCTTTATACTAAAAAAAAAATACATATTTACTGAACCCCTCATATCACAACTAATAGTAGGCTAACTCATTTTTATGTTATCTTTTTAAAAATCACCTCATTCTTATTTTTTAGTATCTCAGTATTTGTCCATTTCATCGCATCATACTCATCACCATCTGCATTTCTGTGTGAACTCTATAAATATGCCTCAGTTCTCGAAACAGCCACAACTGGGTAATGAGTTGCATTAGTCGAGTAAATGACTATCCCATCATTGTTGGTATTTACCATTCTTCACACTAGTTCCTTTTTTTGAATATTCAGTCACCTACAGAATTAACGCCCTTAGAAGTATCTCCAAATAAGACGTAGATTTACTAATGATAGAAGCTTGACTAAAAGTTTTTCAAGTATAACTGTATGATAGTCTTTTGAAAAAACGCAGTTTTCCCCCAGCGGTTAAATTTCTTTGGAGTTTGAGTCATTTATGTAGCCATAGTTATAAGAAACATCTGCTAGTGCTGCTGCTTACGTTTTATCTGCTCCATTAAAGAGCACATTTTTCTTCCTGAGTCTCACTAAAACTAACTAAATGGCTGTCATTCCTTTCTGTATGCTCTTACTGTACTAAGTTAGCCCATTTGAACACTCCTATCCCTTGTTAAAGTTCCCTGCTTTCTTTTCCCTTTGCTTCCCAACAGGTCTCTCGATGGTCGTCTTCAGGTATCTCATCGGAAAGGGCTGCCCCATGTTATCTATTGCCGACTATGGCGCTGGCCTGATCTCCACAGTCATCATGAGCTCAAGGCGATTGAGAACTGCGAATATGCTTTTAATCTTAAAAAGGATGAAGTATGTGTAAACCCTTACCACTATCAGAGAGTTGAGACCCCAGGTAGGAAAATTGCAGGATTTTTTTCTGGTTTTAAATTAAATGCTTCATTTTTTTGTTTGTTTGTTTGTTTTTAGATTTTTGCCATAGGCGGCCTATACACTCAGAGAGACAGAGGAGGAGAGTGAGAAATCATCCACTAGTGGGGATGGTCACACCATCTTTCTTCTTTCTTCTCTTGAGATTTTGGACACACATGTTTATGTGTCCAGTGTGATTTTCAAGCTGCCAGGTCCAGAACTTGAACCTCGGTTGGCCATGTGGAAACCCAGTGACTCAACCACAGTACCCGCTGCTGGTCCCAGTACTTCAACTTTTACGTATATTAAAGCATTTTTGTGATCCAGGGAAATTTTAGTGTAAAATTCTTATAAATTGCCTTTAATTTAATTTAATATACTATTACTGGTAACTAAAAATGCTTTTTTTTTTAAGCTCCAGCCTGTGGTGTGGTGGTTAAAAGTGGCTGAATCTCACATGGTTGGCTGTGTGGTTTGAGTCCCAAACCCTGTGGCTTGAGAGACATGCAGACACATGCATGTGTGCCTAAAATACCAAAAGGCGGGAGAAATGGAGGAGAAGGAATTGTGGCGTGACCTTGCCCCATGGAAAGTGCCACTTTCCCTCTCTCTCTCTCTCCAGTAAGCGCACATTCCCTTTGGCAAATTTTTTTTTGTTTTCGTTAAACTGCTTTTTATAAAAAGCGTTTTATCAAAATGTATCTTGGTGGGGAAAATACATGTTTTCTGGACTAGCATGCTGTTTGATATCAAAGTACCTATCTAGGAAATTTTATAGATTAGCAATCTGCTTAGAGGGAAGTCGATACTTCTTTGCCCCTCTCTACTGTAGTACCTGTTTGCCTGTATTTTGGTCTTTAGTGTTTTTCAAGTACTTCAGTGACTTCATTTGCTTATAAGCAGTTTAGTCAAGCTTGTAGTAAGATTTATTTATTTATTTACTTATTTTGTTTAGTCAGCCGTGCACTTGAAACCTTTTTTTAAAAAACATAGTTATATGTTTTTAGAAAATTCCCTAACTATAATTTTATAAATCTAGACAAATCTCTCCTCACTTTTTCCAATAAGGACTTAAGAAATTTAGGGTAGTATATTAGCAGAGTCACATTGTCTCTAAAAGTCCAGGATAAATTAGGTCTTGGAATTTTGATGGTGGATTACATGCTAAATTAAATCCATAATCAGATTTGCCAATTTCTCAATAACAAGTATACTCCTAAATAAGTTGACCCTGACTTAAAAATAAAGCTGCTGCTTCCTTTTGGTGAAAATTTTTACTCTTTGCCATTAACTTGGATTTCTTTTACTTTTTCAGTTTTGCCTCCAGTGTTAGTGCCTCGGCACACAGAGATCCTAACAGAGCTTCCGCCTCTGGATGACTACACCCACTCCATTCCAGAAAACACTAACTTCCCGGCAGGAATTGAGCCACAAAGTAATTACATCCCAGGTATTTTTGCTTTCTGAATCTCTTAAAAATCTGAATACATCCAAATTTTGTTCATAAGCATTCAAGTATTAGTAAATAGTGATTTTTCCTTTAAAAAATGCATCTGGATTTGGAATAGAAGAATCTGATTTATTGGGTAATAATTTTGTGAAATGTATAGTCCTTAGTACATTAAACATTTTTGTTTGGAGAAAAGTTTTACTTTATATTTCATTTTCTTTTGCAGTGACTTTAATCAGAGTACTGTGAGAAGCAGAAAAGAAAAGATCTTAGTAAGTTTGTCTTAGTTGTTGAAGCTGAGAGAGATGCAGAATGTTAGCAAAATAAATGGTATAGGAAAAAACTATTCCTAAAGTAAATATAACTAAAAATCAATCAAGTCATCACTTTTTCTTAGGTAACTTGATAATATTTAAGAGAAACATAATATAGGAGATACATTTTAGTCTATAGATGTAGCAATACTATTACACTGAAAGTCAGAAAAGCTCTATTTTTAGCTGTGTTTCAACTGGACCTCAGTAACTCTTGATGAAAATAAATGAATTCAACTAGGTAGTTGTCAAATAATTGTGCTTTCTTATAAGATGTGATCCAGTAATATTCCAAGACGTGGCACCTGCCCTTTTAGTTTTTCTTTTCTTTTTTTTTTTTAAGAGGACAGTTCATATATTGTTACTTTTCTTATCTATTTCTCTTTTTATTGTTTGAAGGTTTTTTCCCTTAGCAGAAACTAAAGGTATGATATCAGAATGAGGATTACGCTGTAGCCTAGATTTTTAGTAGCTCAACTTTTTGTCTTCTTTTCTAATGTTCTTCTATTCTACTCTTTATTTTTAGTTTAATGCACCTATAAATATAAAGAACTCAAAAGTTTCAAGTTCATTAAAAATAGATTTCTTTAATGTATTCCCATCATGGAAATAATGTTTGCTCATTGAAAACAATTTTTAATATATAAAAAATGAAGTGTATTTTTAAGCAGCTAGTTTTACAAGGGAAAGTGGTTTCTGATTGCTTTAATGTGCATTTCTTGTTGGTTACAAGGAGAGAGGGTGAGATGCAGCATGATGGACTAGGATGAGGTTTTTCCCTATAAATGGGCTTGTCCAAGGTAGAAGAACTTGGTCTTCTGTCCTAACCTTGGCTGGGAGTGGAATTTGTGTATATGTGTGTGGTGTGCAGAGGGGAGGCAGAGTAAGTCTTTGACAGGGAATCACTGTTACTCGGCAGTGCAGGAAACTTAGACATAAGCATGCAGTCTTGGAAGACCCGTACTCAATGATATACTTTGGAAGGGTGCTAATCATGAAAATGTTTAGTGACTTTGACTTGTGAGGACGTTTGGGCTCATTTTTCCTTTCTTCTTTTTATCACTTTCATCATTTAGACTTAGGTATTTTTCAGAATAGACAGGAGTGGGTTATATCTGTTAGCTTTTCTGGGTGGTGGGCTCTACCCATTTCCAAGTGACAGTGAAACAAAAGTTCGCTCCTCATTCTACCTGCAAAGAAATGTTAGTGTTTTCTTTTAGATTAATAGAACAGATAGCTTTATTATTTCATAGACTTATAATAATGGAGAAAGGTAAAGCAGTAGAATAAGATTGAGTATTTTTAAAGTTCAGTATCTCATATTTAGATCTTTGAAACATCGGTGCTTAAACTGGAAAACCTTAACTCTAATTTTATTAGCTTTAATCATGACAATAGTAGATAATGACTTACATTCTTATTTTTGTGTTCATTCTCATGTTGAGTATATGAAGATATTTTATTCTTAGAATTTATTAGAACTGTTGCAATACTGACACTTAAAAGTTTAATGCTTAAGATAAAGTTTACAGTTTGCTTATAGAATAGAGACTGTTTAAAGGTTAATGAAGGATACTTTTAACTCCATCTTCCCTCTCCTTTTGATAATTACAAAGTTCTTTTTAGGTATGAGGCTACATTATTTTGTATTGCTTAAAACTGCTCATCAAGGGACCAGCAGTTAGCGTAATGGCTATGTCGCTGGACTCCCATGTAGTCGGCTGCGGTTCGTGTCCCGGACCCGGTGGCTTAAACTCACGCTGGGCGAGTGTGTGTGTGTACCCCAGATCCTGAGAGGAGAATGGAGGAGAAGGAATTGTGGCGTGGCCATCCCTTCTGGGGGGTGATTTATCGCTTTCTATCTCTCTGTCTCTCTCTCTGTCTGGCGAGCGCACGTGTCCTATAGCAAAAAAACAAAAAACAAAAAAACAAAAAAAAACCTCTCAAACTGTTCATCAAGGACCAGCAGATGTTGTAATGGTTGTATCTCTGGACTCCCATGTAGTTGACTGCAGTTTGAGTCCTGGACCTAGCAGCTTAAAAGTCACATTGGGCATGTGCGTGCGTGCCCAAAATCCTGAGAGGAAACTGGAGGAGAAGGGATTGCCACATGGCCACCCCACCTGTGTGTGTGTGTGTGTGTGTGTGTGTGTGTGTGTGTGTGCGCGCCAACATGCCCAAAATCCTGAGAGGAGACTGGAGAAGGAACTGCCACATGGCCACCCCACCTGGGGGCTGATTTCTTACTTTCTGTTTCTGTCTCTCCCGCAAGCGCATGCACCCTATAGCAAAAAAAGATCTCTGTATTTAAAAACAAAACAAAATGTTCATCAATGTAAATGTTAAAATGGTAAATCTCTTTTTACTTATTTTGATGACTTGAGATTATAGTTGGTGAAATCGTGCAAACATTTTTATTTTACATGAAGCTTATTTAGCTATTTGGAAACCTGATCATAAGCAGTTTTGTTCAAAAATGTGTTGGAAATGACATATTAGAGTCTTATTAATTTTTAGGGAATACTTTATGCAGTAGTTCAATTCATTTGCATTGAACTTTCTGCTGCAAACACTTAGATTAGAAATTCCTGAAGAAATGTACTTTTCAGGTGTAATTCAAACTAGACCAGTCCTGAACCATATTAACCATATTTTACTCTCTATAGAACTTCAAGTCAGGTGTAACCCTGTACTTTTTTTATTATCTGAAATGATGTGTGTTCTTAGTGTTTCCTGAGTACCCATCCACAATGTCCATTAGTTTAAAAATATATATATTGTGGGTACTAACCTATAATTTTAAGCTTACTGATTTGGAACTGAAACATCTTATTTTTAAAATTGTATTTTTGACTTTTGTCCCAGAATGTATACAATATGGGAGTGAACCAGATACATACATAAATAGATTTTATGGATTCACCTGCAAGATTTGGATCAGAACTTAAATAATAAGCTCCTTGTATCTAATATTAATTTCCAGAATAATGTCATTTAACACTCTTATTTTTTATTCATTAGTTATCTTTGACAGCTGAGAGAAAAGTAGTAAGGTTACGTTGATTACTTGATCTGTTCTAAACTTTTGTAGAAACGCCACCTCCTGGCTATATCAGTGAAGATGGAGAAACAAGTGATCAGCAGCTGAACCAAAGTATGGACACAGGTAAGAAGTGTCTCTCAGAATTCCTCAGTAATTAGATACATAGTTTTTTGCATTGTTTGAAACTCACTGGAGAAATTCCTCTTAAATTTAGAGAAGTTGAAAATATATCAAACACAGACTCTTCCAACTCCATTTAGCTGTATCTGACCACTGAAGAGGCTGTGTTTGTCACTGAGAAATTAACATATGCTACTCTTATTAAGAGTACATAAAAATGTTAGAGCACCCATGTGTCTATTTCTTTTTAAGTATTTTATACTTCTGTTTCGTTAACACTGTGAGTAAATACCTCTTTGTAATTAGTTCAGTAACAGATTTTCGGAGTAATTTGGAGTGAAAGATGTGGAGATCAGCTTTTCATTGATCCTTTAATAATAAGTTGTGAATTATAGTAGGTTGTTTACATAAGTACCTCGTACCTAACTTAGTTTGATTGATCTCTGATATTTAGCTTTCAACTCCGAACAATGACAAAGAAGAATTTTTAATATATATATTTTACACATCAAAAGTTTAAACCAGTTGTTATGTGATAAAATGTATAATCCAGCATCACTAATAGGTTACCAGTGAAATTGCTTTGAAGTTGTTGTAATTGTCCAGTTTGATTCACACTGCACCCTGTCTCTGTTTTAAGGATTAGACAGCCTAATGACACAACTTGACAAAACACACCATTGGCCTTTCTGTATGTCCTATACTAACACATTCTGCAGTTATGCTCTAAGTTGCTTTTAAATGGGTTAATATTGTCAGGGAGAGGGGCTTTGACTATAATTCTGTTTAAGTCCTTTCATCTTTTACTCCCAGGTAATTACGACTGTTAGGCTTAGCAAATAACTAAGAAAGATGGGTGATCTGATGATCATTGGAAATAATGTTATACATCTTACTGCAAATGATATTTAACTTTCCAAAAATGACTTAACACACTTGATATCAAAGAACTTCATTCTTGAAGCAGTACTGTAATTTTTGCTCTCTGATGGATGGACTGCTAGTATTGTGGCCTTTAAAAGTGAATGGCATGAAAAGACAGGGAACAGTATAAACCACAGTGGGCTATGCTTCACACCCACTAGATGGCTATGTTCAAAAAAGGAGGATAACAGTAGTGTTGGGGAGGATGTGGCAAATTGGAGGCCTCATGTGTTGCTCGTAGTGATGTGAAATGATTCAGCCACTTTAGACGTTTACTCTTCTCAGAAAGTTAAAGTAAACATGTGGCTCAGCAGTTTTATCTTCCAAATGTACCAAAGAAAACTGAAGACATAACCACACAAAAATTGTACATGGGGACCAGCAGTTGGCTATGTCACTTTCTCTCTTCCTCCCTCTCTCTCTCTCTCTCTCTCTCTCTCGCGCGCGCGCACGCCCCCCCACACACACACACACACACGCTTCTGGGTCCAGGTTTCAAACTGCGCTGTCAGCTATGTGGGGTCCAGCTGCCCTAAAGTCAGTGCCATCTCCTGGCCCACATTATCTATTTTTTGATGGTTTTTAAACAATTACTTATGTCTTATTTCTTGGTCACATAGAAATTTAAAGTTTTTTTGGTTATTGATTAGTAATTCATGTGTTTTTCCTGTTGTACCTTCTTAAAGAACACTGATTTCCTTGAAAATTCCCGATGATATTCTGATTGGAATTATGATGGATTTTTAGGTGAATTTGGTTAGAATTAAGATCTAAGCTGACTTTTCTATCAAGGATCACTGTCTTTGTATTTTTAAATATTCTTTTATGGCTAACATTGAAACATCACTTTCTCTCTTCCTCCCTCTCTCTCTCTCTCTCTCTCTCTCTCTCTCGGGCGAGCGCACACGCCCTACAGCAAAAATCTCTCCAAAAACAAAATCTGTACATGAATGTTCATTCAAGCATTATTCATAATGTTCCAAAAGTGGAAATAACACAAATATTCATCAACTGATGGATAGATAAGTAAAAGGACATATATAGATTATTGAGTAATATTCAACATTCCTGTGAAGAAATGAGTTAATAAATTATTTGATAATACTTTCAGTATTCCTGTGCAGGAATGATAGTACAATATAAGCTCTATAGTATGATGATCCTTGGAAATACTATGTGTGGTAAGTGAAAGATGGCAGATACCAAAGGCCTCGGGGATTCTATTAATAACTAGTGCCCAAGTATCTATTTTACATTATAACTGAAACACGGGAGAAGCAGTTAAGGACACTCAATGGTTTTATGAAAAATGAGTCAAAATAGAAAGGGGAATAAATAAGCTGAAGCAGTTAAAATCAGTTCAGTGTTGGGACTGACTTTAAACCTAACATAGTGTTTCTAATTCTTTTTCAGTGGGGCAGTGTTATTGGCTTTTAGAATGATATATTTAAAATGACTTCCTGTAACGACAGCATGAGTATCTGATTGATGAGATGCTAAAAATTGAAATAACTCTTGGTTTCTTACCCACCATCAGTTCTCCTCTCTGTGCCCTCACAAGAAAGAACATTTCTTTCAATTGATTTGGGGACCCAGTTTAGAAAAACTGACCTCCTCTCTAATTCTGGCTCATATTTTCCATGGGGGAAGGACATGATTTAATCTCTTTCTTACCCTGCCAGAATCGAATGAGTAAAAAATGTTGAAAGGCAACCATAGAAATGATAACAAAGAACTGTATGTATCAGCACCTGTTACCTTTTTGCCTCCCCCTCTTTAAATTTTTCTGGTGGTCAAACTTTCCTTTGTCCTCAAAGTCTTAGAGATCACGCAGATACCACTAGTATTTTGTAATCAGTTCTTAAAAGGGACATATTTAAAATGACTTGATCCACAAAATGGATTGATTTTATAAATGTATTTGTTCAAACAGTATATAGAAGAATATTAGCTGTATCCTAAAACGTGGATTCCATAACTCACAAATTCAGTTTCATATGTTCTAAGTGTACTGTGCTTGGTCCAGGATATATATAATGGAGCCTTGAGAGGCTACATATGTCACTGGGTTGAATTGAGTTTCCCAACAGTTACATCGAAGTCTTAACTTCCAGTACCTCAGAATGTGACCTTGTTTTGTAATAGGGTCTTTGTGGATGTCATTATTTAAGTTAAGAGAAGGTATACCGTAGTAGTACAGGGCCCTAATGCTAAAACTGAAGTCTTTCTGAAAAGAGAATTAGGGCAGCCCCATAGCACAGCGGTTAAGTGCTGTGGGAACCAGATCCCATGTAGTCAACCACAGTTTGAATCTCAGTCCTAACACCCTATAAAACATGCCTGGCATATGTGCCTGCATCCCCAAATCCTGATAGAAGGGAGAAATGAAGGAAAATAATGCACATGACTGTGCCCCATTGTTGGTGATTTCTTGCTTACTCGCTCTCTATGACAAATGCCAGCACCCTCTGACAGTTCAGAAGAAGAAAAGATACACACAAGGAAGAATGCCGTGTGAAGATAGAGGTAGAGATGGGAGTTAACACTGCAAGCCAGGCCATGAAAGCCAGAAATCAGAAGCTTGAAGATGAAACAGATTCTCTCATAGCACTTCTGAGAGAGCCTAGCTCTGCTGACACCTTGATTTCAGGCTTAGCCGACAGAGCTATGAGAGAATAAATTTCTCAAGTGTTAAAATACTTCAGAAAAAAAGGGAA